TTTTTTTTTTTTTTTTTTTTTTTTTGTTTTTTTTTTTTTTTTTGAGGCCAGGAAGGGATCATCTGTTCCCCATTATTTGTCAGTTCTCTAGCTGTGCCATTAATTATTATTATTATCATCATTAAGGCCCTGCTTCGCTGGAATAGCATCATTAAATATGGAGGTTTTTTCCTCCAGCCTATCTTGAGAAAGCATGTCTTTTGCAATATCATGAAGGCCTTCAACCCCGTAAAGGAGAGTCGGCACTCCGGAACTTGAATGCAGGCTGCACAAGGGAAAACCTGCTGGGGATGATGTGTTTTCAGTTGGGAATGAAACACCAAGAGTTAGGCTCTCAGTAACTGGCAAAAGCCAGCATCCTGGCCTCTGTAGCTATGGAATTTTCCTCCAAAAGTTCTGTGGAAAAACTTCGATTCAGATTATCTTTTCTGTACTGATAAAGGTGATGACTATACACCTCTGGCTCCACAAACCACCACCTTTGTAATAACAAGCATTATAAACAGGATGTCAGGTTTCCTTAGGGAAACAAACCCCACTCACTCAGAATTTGTGTCCATACAAACAAAACACATTGGCCGTCCTTCACTCTGGGGTTCCCTATAAAGAGCAGAGACTATCAAAGGCGGAACCATGCTCTGTCCCAGCACTGCCTCCAGCCCCCCATGGTCCTGCCCATCAGAAAGGCAGAAATGCCACTGGTGGTATTGTTCCACTTTCCAAGTAAGCTCTGGTGCAGAGAGGTTAGATGGCTTGAGGAAGTTTGCCCAGACTTTTCTTCCTCCACATCTGCATGTCGTTCCATTAATGCCACACACTGCTTCCCTAACAGAGTAGAGGCAGTATTTCAGAGAGACTCAAATCTACTTCAGGGACCAAAATGTTAAGGCACTATAGAAGACTAATCTGCATATAAACAATACACTGATTGCAAATTAACTTTTTAAAAAAATTAAAGCCGCTCTGGCTAGCACTGTCACTCTTAGCTGTAAATGTCATTAGTGATTATATATCCTTCAAAATACCATATTTTTACGGTACCTTTTCTATATTTAAATAGGTTTAGATATACAAATACCATTGTGTTATAGTTGCCCACAGCATTCCGTACAGGAACATGCTGTATTGGTGTATGATGTAGCCTAGGAGCAATAGGCTATCCCATATAGCATAGGTATGCAGTAAGCTCTATCACCTAGTTTTGTGTAAGTGCACCCTATGATGTTCACACAATGAGGAGGTCACCTAACAATGTATTTCTTGGGATGTACCCCATTGCTATATGATGCATGACTGTAATAAAATGCACACCCTCATAAAATAATCAGCATCCTCAAGTTCAGACCAGCTTTCTTCATATCTCAGTGTTAACCTTTACTACAACTTCCTCCTAAAGGCTGCATTTCTTTGGGAGATGCTTGGTGCATGGCTGGACCCAGGTGACTGCTTTTCCATAGCTTCCTACCACATTTTCTCCAGTCCCAGAACACCTGCCTGTGATTGACCCTTGGGTAATGCACAGGCAAAAAACCTGGGCAGAATCATGGTGCAGCATTCCTTTTGTTATTTGTCTTCTTAATGGCTGAATTAAGGGTCTGAAGAGCTCATTTGAAAATTATTATTAATATTGGACCTGGTCCCAGGTGGAACCAATATACTCTATTCTTTAAGGAGTGGCAGGTTCACCCAATGAAATAAATTAACTTGGGAGAACAGATCATCATCTGGTGCCTGGTAAGAGATAATTTACTAATTGATAATTCTAATTTGCTGAAATAATTAATTTACCTCTCATTGGATAATGGTTCATTCTCAGGCAGTACTCCTCCACCATCTTCCAGCTCTCAACATATGATTTAAAACTGATCCAGTTCCCAGGCCATATAATGATGAGTTCATATTTCACACTAAGAAAACCTGGAAAATGAAAAGTCCTAACTTTCTTTTTTTTTCCCATTTATTTATTTTATTGCATTTTTGGTTTTGGGGTACATGTGAAGAACATGAAAAATTGTTGCATAGGTACACACGTGGCAGTGTGATTTGCTGCCTTCCTCCCCATCACCTACATCTGGCATTTCTCCCCTTGCTATCTCTCCCCANTAGGTTTGGGGGTACATGTGAAGAACATGCAAAATTGTTGCATAGGTACACACGTGGCAGTGTGATTTGCTGCCTTCCTACCCATCACCTACATCTGACATCTCTCCCCTTGCTATCTCTCCCCAGCTCCCCACCCCCCACTGTCCCTCCCCTGTTTCCCCCCAACTGACCCCAGTGTGTAGTGCTCCCCTCCCTGTGTCCATGTGTTCTCATTGTTCAACACCCGCCTATGAGTGAGAACATGCGGTGTTTGAGTCCTAACTTTCAAAACAAACTAAGTGAATTTTTGGTCACTTTACAGAAGGATTTTTCACTTTACTAAAGACAAATAATTTAGCCTAATGTGGGTAACATAAATTTTGATGAAAACAAGGGTACCTTTCAAAGGTACGGAGATAAAAATGTCATCCCAGCTTTACTTAGGTAATGGTCATTTTAGAATCCCATTGTGCCAAGAACCATGCCTTATACATCCTAGCTATTCAATAATTATTCATATTCACCATACTAAAGCAGCCTGCCAAACACTTCATCAAGATGCACCTTAATGGTGGGAGGTAGGGTTCCTCTGCTTCAGCAGCAGCGACATATTGGGCCAGGTAAGTCTTTGTTGTGGGAGTCTCCTGTGCATCACAGGATGCGTAGCAGCATCCCTGGCCTCTACTGCTAGATGCCAGTAGCACTCCTGTCAGTTGTGACAATCAAAAATGTCACTAGACCTTGCTAATGTTCCCCATTGTTGACATCTCCCCCAGTTGAGAAACACTGGTCTGATCTTTTTATTCTTCTTAAAGTCATTTGTTGCTATGGCAAGTGTTTCCAAAATGCCAGCTTAAACCTTTACTGGAAGTAAAAATAGTATTTATTTTAGGGGGAGAAATGTTCTCAAATGTTTTACAAGCTTCTCCTCTAAGTAATTCCATAGGAAACAGGTAGTCAGATGGAATTGTGGGCACAACATATTCACAGTAAGATAAATTCCAACAATTTCAAATTTCCCTTTCAGACTAAGCACGTAACAAAGTTGGTAGACTTTCTCAAAAATGACTTGCATTCTGACTTTGCTATGCTTCCAGGGAATCTGTTTCTATTTATGCAGAATTTCACTACACTTTTTAAAAAGTGATTTTTTAAATGTTCCAAGACTTTTTTTTAATAAAGGAAAAACATGTAATCAACAACCACAGATTTAATGTTGTCCCTTGTGACTTTTGACTTTCTCATTACAGGGTCACAATATCTTTGCCAACCTGTCCTCCAAGGAATATAGTGACCTTATGCAGCTTTTGAAGCAGTCAATATTGGCAACAGACCTCACGCTATACTTTGAGTAGGTATTGGCATTTGATCTATTTGACAAATGGATATCTAAAGTTCCATCCTGTAATTGATCTCCAGGTCTACACTGGCGGTTTCCTACTATTCTAGCATGGATATCAGTGTGTAAATGAGCTAAACCTTTTTTGTTGTTTCTCTCTCCTATAAATGATGTTCATTAAGGTGGTATATATAAGCGAGAGAATCAAGGCTACAATCGCAAGATTTCTATTTGTCTTCTGTTTTATGAGCCTTGTTTATGAGCCTTGTTTGACACACAACTCTGAAACTAAGTGATGGCCATTTTAATTTTAGATACTGACTAATATTGCTATTTAAGACTATTAACTTCTGGTCAGCTGTATAATGGCACTGATGATAAAGATGAAAAATATTCACTGATTGAAAATTAACTAGCAATCCAACAGTTCACTCCTTACTTCTTTTCTTTCTCTTTCTTTCTCTGCATTTTGCCAAAGTTCAGGCCTTTCTCTGAGCTGGAAATTGTACCCTCCCATTTCCAGTGAGACCTGCTTTATCAGGTGCCACCTCTTTTAGCAGCCTGGAAATTTCTCCTGCCGCTGATTTGCACAATTTTTTCCTATCTTAGAGACCAAGCTATGCTACTCCCTTAAAAAATTATTTCATTTGATCCCATGGAGATCTTTAATTGCTTTTTTATTTACCTTTCTTTTACTGTCTACCTTTTTAAATAAATAGAGCACATTTAGTACCTCTATTTTCCTAACACCCATTTACACCATCAAGAACAGAGTCTATCTCCACTCTATTAAGATTGTACTCTCAGAGGTCACCAGAGACATACATTTCTTTCCTCGGATATGATGATCTGTACTCACTTCTGATAGTTTCCATCTTCTTTGAGATATCGGAAGGTTTAATGAGTTATTATCAATTTCTACTCTCCTTGCTTCCCCTATCTCCAGCCGCCTTTCTCTTTTCTCTTCTAGATCCTTGGCAGGTTTCTTTTCTCCTTGCTCCTGTGTTTAAGCTCTTGAACCATGTTCTTCTTTCTCTACTCAGATCACTCCTCTGGCCTCATCTCTATGTTACTTCTATGTATGTTATGACCTTTGTGTAGAAGACTCTGAAATTCTTCACTCTAACCCTCCCTCACACTGTAGACCTGTATCTCCAACTTCCATCTCAAAAAACCTTCAGTGTCCTCATTGCTTTCAAAGGAAGCTCTAAACTTGGTTTGACTTTCAAGGTCCTCTATAATCTGCCCCAACCTTTTTTCATTCTAACCTTCCACTTCTCCCTACGTGACTGCTCTATGTCAACCAGACTAGTCTATGCATTACCCTTTGGAACACCCTGTGTAATGCTCCTTGTGCCCTCACCGTATTACCATTCCCACATGGAATCCTGTTCCTCCACTCGCTGACTTCCTGAAGTGACCATCCTTTAAGATCTGTCTCTTCTACCGCTTTTTCTAGGCAGTCTCATGTCACTCGCTTTGAAATGACTCCGTTTGAAAAGCACTGTGGCATTGCATCAGTTAGAATTAGGTTCAATTGTAAGGGATGTCCAAAGCTTAAGACACTCAAAGCTCAAAGAGATTGCTAGAAAGTCAGTCTATAAAATGTTCAGCACCCAGGAAGTCCTCTACCAACACAGCCAGGTAACTCCCTTTATTCTACCTGAAGAAGGCCAGAAATTTATTCTCTGGAGAAATAAAATGAAGACCTCTGATCTGAGGAAAGGTACAGGGTGGGAATGAGATACGGTGCTCAGAAGAAGGGATTAAATTAAATGGAACCAGTCTCTGGATTGAAAACCAATAGGCCATGGCCAAGCACTTAGAAGCTAGGGGTCTATAAGCCCCACACCCAGGGTTGTCAGATTTAGCAAGCAGAAGTACAGAAAGTCCAGTTACATTTAAATTTCAGATAAATAATGAATAGTTTTTTAGGATAGAAAGATAATTAGATATCTCATGAAACATTTGGAACATATTTATACTCAAAATTATTTTTTGTATATTTCAGAATAGCTATAAGAGAGGACTTGAAATGTTCCTAACAGATAGAAATGGTAAATATTCAAGGTGGCAGATATCCTAAATACCCTGACTTGATCATGGCACATTCTATGCAAGTAATAAAATGTCATATGTGCCCAATAAATATGTATAAATATTATGTATCAATAAAAATTTTGAAAATAATTATTTTTATCTGAAACTCAAATTATTTTATCCAGCAAGTGTACCCCTCCCACACACACACAACTCCCATTTAGCTTTTTAATGCATTACTATTACACGTGGAAAACAGAATCACAGCACATTTTATAAGCATCCAATATGAAGGACGGGGGCCAAAACAGACAGAAAAAAAATGAAATTCAGAGAAAACAGGGAGAGGAAGAAAACAAAAAACTAAAAAATGCTGTTACTATTCTCAGAGAGGTAACATATTGCATCCATGAAACAAGAACAGGATGCTTTTTAAAAATAATAATAGGAGCAACCATGAAAAAGAAAGCACTTTTAAAAATTAAGAACATAAACAAAATTAAAAAATCAAATGAAAGCATTAGGAAATACAGGCCAAGGACAAAAGGCAGCAAGACGGAAAACACTGCTGTATTTTATTATATGTCTTTAGTGCTATTTGATTTGTTAACTATGTTCATGTATTACTTTGATACATGTAATTTATAATTAGTTTAAAAAATATACTTAAAAAATTGAAATCCCAGCTCTGCCACTAATTAGCTGTGTGCCAGCAGATAAATTATTTACTTCTCTGAGCCTTTCTTTCAAGTATAAAACGGAGATAACAGTACCTATGTCATGTCTTTTAAATGTCTCATAAATGGTGACATCTACAACCTCATTTGCTTTATAACCTATTTATTTTGCAAGTTCTGTGGCCCTTTAGTTGACCTAAATGACATAATCTTTCATCTTTTTCTTGATTAATGCTCCTTGATTTGGAATTTATGGAAAGCCTGTATCCTTTTAATGTTTTATTGCCTGTCCCTCACACTTGCAGGATCTTGTGTTATTTTTCTCAAAGTAGAAGTATTTTCCAAACTATGTTTCCAAGTAACTTCTAAAGAGAGAGAAAAAAATCTCAACACTGAGTCCATTTATCAAGCCCTGTTAGGGATTTGACGAATCACTGAGTGACCGCTGGCATGCAGTCAAGGAAGTTGGTTGCAACTCGTTTTCTCATTACCCTGTTCTTATCTTAATGCTGCAGCCCCTGCTAATGTTTGCTGACTCCCAAAGAAGCTGGCTTGTTCTCTTTTTGTCAGCATTATTGTTTTTTGAGGTTCTGAATAGCTGCCCACTCTCTAATCTAGACCTTCAGAGGACTGGTTCACTTGCCTGTCTAAAGTTGCATTAAAATATTGCCGTATTTTTAGCCAGAACAATCCCTAGGGTTATAATGAGGGGGAAAGCAGCTACTGCAAACTGTCACCTAGATGTTTTTATTTAAAAGATGTGCAATTGTGGGATTGGAAGTGATCTTAGAAATGTTGCAATCCAATTCATCTCTTTTATTTTGCTGATTAGGCGCTGAGATCCAAATGGTTAAACAGCATAGCTCAGGTCGCATAACTCATTATTGGCAAAACTGGAACCCACACCTCCTCTTTCAGGGCTTTTTCTTCAATCACAATTGTTCACTGTCTAATGGAAGAATCAAGAAATAATTGTAATTTTAATTGGGGATATATTATGTGATAATGTTAACCTTTCCAGATGTTCTATAATCAGTTTAAACACCAGCTTGGGGTCCCTGTGTCCTCTACCAAAGCAAAGTTGGAGCTAAGGGCTTGCATTCAGGTAGTTTTGTTTTGGAAATGATACCAAGAATAAGAGTGAGGGGATGGGACAGTGAAATGGGGAAGGAGGGAAGCCAGTGAAAGGAAGGACACATTTCTTTGTTGTTCACTGCTATGGTCAGCTTGATGCTGCAGGGACCATCTGTGAAGTCTCATATATTGCACTTCAAAATTGTCTACCACCCACCATCCTCATCAGCCAAAGGTCACTCTGTGGGGTGTTAACTCTCACATACTTCCAGGTTGTATGTGCCTGATGGCTGGGCATTCCTGCAGCCATCCCATTTTTTGGTCCCACACATGAAGTCAGCGCAGTGCCAGGGCAGAAAGTATGTGATCCGCCTGACCACCGAGGCACTGCGTGTAGCAGCAATGGCAGGAGAGGGCTAGGTGGGCCAAGAGGATATAAAGGTCCCCGTACAACTAGTTTCTGGAAGTCTGGATTATTGTTGGTTCTTCTACCCTGACTACTCAACTCAAAAGTCATGATACAGTTAAATAAACCAAATAGGAAGCTCACTGTCCCTCTAGGAGAGGTCTAGGCTGGGTGGGATAGAGGCCTGCCTTTTGGAGACGGGTTTCTGACTCATTCCCAGGGGAAGGATTTCTTGCCATGCTCTAACAAGAAAAAATAGATAAGATTCATGGAAATGTGGAAAGGCTCTCAAAACATCCACAAAAGTTTATGACTTTAATTTCTAAAGACCTTGTGTGTCCTTGGGATTCTGTGCTATTCAAATGGCATATGAAAGCAGAATTCACAAGATTAAAATACAAAAACAAAATCCTTAATGTGAACTTCTAAGTTTCACAACCTGAGCCTGGGGGTTAATGATTCATTCTGATTTTCTAACTCAGTGAAGACGTTTTCCAGTTACTGCTGAGTGATTTTCTGAAGTTGATTTCTGTGCCTATTTCTGAGTCCCTGCAGTGAATAAGGCTTTGATAATTAAGTAGTAATTTCACCAACTTTAAGAGTCAGATCTCTGTTTGCTTCAGTTTCCTTGTCAGCAACATGTGTATAGGCATATCACCCATTCTAATCTCCTAGGATCCTGTGGCAGTTAAAAGAGATTAACTTTATGAAAGAGCTTTGACAATGTAAAGTTTCTTATAAAAAAAAGGAATCACTCAGCCAGAAAACTTAATAAAATATGCACCATAAAAGATGATGCTTGTTGGAGTGGGCCG